TCCAGCCAGGAACAGGGACATGGATCCAGGGAACTCTGGCCAGGAATGGGGCAGGGATCCCGGGAATTCTGGATGGGAATGGGGACACAGACCCAGGCAATTCCAGCCAGGAACAGGGACATGGATCCAGGGAATTCCGGCCAGGAACAGGGGCAGGGATCCAGGGAATTCCAGCCAGGAACAGGGATATGGATCCAGGCAATTCCAGCCAGGAACAGGGACATGGATCCAGGGAATTCCGGATGGGAATGGGGAAGGGATCCAGGGAATTCCAGCCAGGAACAGGGACATGGATCCAGGGAATTCCAGCCAGGAATGGGGAAGGGATCCAGGCAATTCCAGCCAGGAACAGGGACATGGATCCAGGCAATTCCAGCCAGGAACAGGGACACAGATCCAGGGAATTCCGGCCAGGAACAGGGGCACAGATCCAGGGAATTCCGGCCAGGACCACGCCCCAGTTCCCGCTTTTCCCCCCGTTTTTCCCGTTTCTTTCCCGGTTTTCCCAACCTTCATCTGCGGCACGGACTCCCCGGTCAGCATGGCCTCGTCCACGACGCAGCGGCCCCGCAGCAGGAGGAGGTCACAGGGCACCAAATTCTCCTGGGGGGAGCGGCCTGAGGGCAGAAATCCCCAAAATTCCCAAAATTCTCAGGCCAAACTCATCCGTTTTTCCGTTTTCCCCACTCCAAACCCCACGGTTTTTCCACCCACTTTTCCAGCCCCAGATCTGTAGGAGGAGGGTTTGGAGAAGGGAAAATTTGGGACAAAAAAAAGGCCCCTGGAATTCCTGGAATTTTAGGGTTTGGGGGAGCTAAAATGTTTGATGGCAGGATGGTGGAAAAGCAGGGAATTCCAGAAAAAAAGGGGAAAATCCCACAACTAAAACCTCAAAGTGACCCCAGTCCAACCCAGAACTCCAGGAAAGTTCCGAGGGGATTTCCCCGAAAATGAGAATCGAAACCCTCAAAATTCAATTTAATTCCAACAGAAACGAGGGAAGAAATTCCAATTTTCGAGGGACTTTTCCATGAAAATCCCCATTTTAAGGGCGTTTCCCATAAAAAAATCCCATTTTCCAGGATGCTTTCTGTGGAAATTCCCATTCTAAGGACGCTCCTCATGGCAATTCCTATTGGGAATTCCCGTTTTTGGGGCGTTTTTCCATGGAAATTCCCGTTCTCACCGATGGAGACGATGTCCCCTGCGATGATCTCCTCACTGGAAATCGGGCGCCACTTCCGGTTCCTGTAGACCTGGAATTCCCAAAAAAAACCCCCAAGTTTTGGGATGGAATTGGTGGGAAATCCACAGGAAAAAGAGGAAAAAAAAATCCCCCAGATATCCTAAGGTGCCCCAAAAATTCCCATTTTTGTGCCAGTATCAGCAGGAAAACAACAGGAAAAGTCACCAAAAGACTCAAAAATCTCAATTTTGGGACAAAAAAAAATCTGTGGAGAAACCACACGAAACAGGAAGATAACTGGGCTGAATGCCCCTAAAAATCCCAAAAAACCCCACAAATCCACAAAAATCCCATTTCCTGGGACAGAATCCCTGCAAAAACCACAGGAAAAAGAGGAAAATGCAGGGGCTAAAACCCCTAAAATCCCCATTTTGGGGCCGAACTCAGCAGCGAAACCACCACAAAGGGCCCCAGGAAGCCGGACTGGGAATGTCCAGGAATTCCAGGTTTTTCCCTGGAGCCTCGGCATTCCGGGATCTCACCTGGATCATGTAGGGCTTGTTGCCCATCCTGCGGATCTCGGAGAGGTTGCGGAGCTGCTGCTGCACCAGGGAGGCCTCGAAGGCCACGAGCATGGACAGGGTGAAGACGCTGTAGTACCAGAACTCGTCCAGGCACCACAGCCCCACGCAGAACACCTGGAAAAAACCACGGGAATGCCGGGAATGCCGGGAAGGGACAAGGGGAGATTGGGGGGAAACTCCGGGAGAAAAGGGAAAATCCTCCAGAAATCCTCGTGGGGCTGGGACTGCACCAGGGCAGCCCCGGATTCCGGCAATTCCAGCCCAGAATTTCGGGGAAAAAGGGACGGCGGTTATCCCAACCCAGCCCAGAATTCCTGGAATTCCAGGGGAAAGGGACCAAAATTATTCCTGGAATCCCAGGGGGAAAAGGGACCAAAATTATTCCTGGAATTCCAGGGGAAAAGGGACCAAAATTATTCCTGGAATCCCAGGGAGAAAGGGACCAAAATTATTCCTGGAATTCCAGGGGAAAAGGGACCAAAATTATTCCTGGAATCCCAGGGAGAAAGGGACCAAAATTATTCCTGGAATTCCAGGGAGAAAGGGACCAAAATTATTCCTGGAATTCCAGGGGAAAAGGGACCAAAATTATTCCTGGAATTCCAGGGAGAAAGGGACCAAAATTATTCCTGGAATTCCAGGGGAAAAGGGACCAAAATTATTCCTGGAATTCCAAGGAGAAAGGGACCAAAATTATTCCTGGAATTCCAGGGAGAAAGGGACCAAAATTATTCCTGAAATCCCAGGGAGAAAGGGACCAAAATTATTCCTGGAATTCCAGGGAGAAAGGGACCAAAATTATTCCTGGAATTCCAGGGAGAAAGGGACCAAAATTATTCCTGGAATTCCAGGGAGAAAGGGACCAAAATTATTCCTGGAATTCCAGGGAGAAAGGGACCAAAACCGGCCCCATCCATCCCAGAATGAATTCCCCTGGTTTTCACAGGAACGGGAATTTTCCCTGAGTTTATTCCCATTTTTAGTAGATTTGGGGGATTTTTCCCGGTTTTTATTCCCGATTTTTACCTGGAAAACGAAGAACGGAGCCGTGGCTCTTTCCTTGAAAAGCTCCAGGAATTCTGGCACCACCATTTCTGCCCTGGAAGGAGGAAAATCCTTGCAAAAACCCTTGGAAAATCCCAGTTTTTCCACCCAAAATATCCCCGTTCCTGATGATTTTAAACAAAAAATTGGATTTTTGGGATCCATTCCCAGAAGATCCCTCAGCCCAAAATCCCAAATCCAGGAGGGAGGAAAATCCCAGATTTCGGGGATATTTTCCAGCCTATTTTGGGATATTTAGAGATGCTTTCCTGGAATATTTTCTGGGTACATTTCACTACATTTTCGCACATTCCACTGGGATATTTGAGAATATTTTTCCAGGATATTTTTGGACGTTTTCCTGGAATATTTACCCAGAATATTTTGGGATACCTTCCTGGGATATTTGAGCTATTTTAAGAACACTTTCCCAGCACACTTGGGATTTTTTTTTTTAGGATATTTACAGATTTTTCCCCAAATATTTTGGGCTCTTTTCCCGGGATTTCCCCCCAGGAAAAACTCACTTGTTATTCCCGTATTTCCTCTCGGCCTCCCGGATTTCCTGCTCCTCCTGGAAGCCTCTGGAATTCTGGTAGAATCCCAAGGGGTGCTCCACAGGGAAGGCCACGGGCAGGAATTGCTTTTTTCCATGGATTTCGTAGGAATATTTGATCTTCTGGAACTCAAAGCTCAGCGCTTCCTGCCCATCCTCACCCTGGGGGAAAAAAAAAAAAAGGGAAAAATTCCAAATTTCCCATTCCTGGAAAAATTTCCAGCCTGGACGAGGGAAAAAAAAAATCCCAGATTTCCAAGGGTCTCCTGGAGAAAAATCCCAAAATCCCAACGTTTTCCAGGGCTGTTCTGCCTGGAATTCCCAGGTTCTCCCCATTTTCGGGGATAAATCCCAAGGAATTCTCAGATTTTCCCATTCCCCCATGGACTATCATGAACACATTGGATTTTCCAGGACAAATCCCACCGGAATTCCCGGATTTTCATCCCGAAGCTGGATGGCCCTGAGCTCACTGGGTCTCCAGGGATGAATCCCAGCGGAATTCCTGGAATTCCCTCACCTGCTCCCTGTGGATTGGCACCAGTTCCACAGAGCCATTGTTGGGGGTTGGCACCACCTTGGCCAGGGTGGCTTTTTGGGGACAGGGCTCCTGGGGGAGAAAACAGCAGGAAAATCCCTTCAAAACCCCTCAAAAATCCCATTTTTTATTGCCTTAAAAACCCATTTTTAACCCTTCAAAATCCCAGCTTTGTACCCCAAGTGCTCCAAATTTTATCCCTTTAGAATCCCATTTTCAATCGCTTTAAAATCCCAATTTTTATTGCTCCAAAACCCCACATTTATACTTTGAATAACCTATATTTTATCCCTTTAATATCCCACATTTTACAATTCTAATAACCCATATTTTATCCCTTTAATATCCCACATTTAACATTTTTAATATCCCATACTTTATTCCTTTAAAACCACACATTTCACACTCCTAACATCCCAAATATTTTCCTTTTAATATCCCACTCTTCCATATTTAATACCCCATATTTCTCATAGCCAACACCCTCATATTTAACAATTCCTACGGAATACTTTAACTTAGCCTATAAGTTTATATTTCATACATTTATGCCCCAAATCCCCTTTAAACCCTGAACCCCTTCAGCCCCCAAATCTCCCCCAAATCCCCCCAGAGCCCAAACACCCTCAGCCCCTCAGCCCCATGTCCCGGTCCCTGTCCCGCGCTCACCCTGACGCAGCTGAGGGCGCACTCGGCGTGCACGGACCAGAGCCCGGCCAGCGCCGTCAGCAGCTGCAGCGCCGCGATGGCGCCGAGCGCCAGCAGCGCCGCCTCGGGCGGCCCCGCCGCCTCGCCCGCCGCCCACAGCCGCGGCCCCCACAGCCACAGCCAGGCCGGGTAGAGGCCGGCGGCGAAGGGCAGCACGGTGCCGCGGAGCAGCCGCGGCCGCCGCCGGTAGAGCGTCACCGACGAGACCAGCTCGTCCTCGGGGGCCGCCGCGGCCGCCGCCATCTTCCCTCCGCCTTCTCCGCGCCGCTTCCGCTTTCGCTTCCGCTTCTGCGCCTGCGCCGGGCCCGCGCTTCCCGCCTCGGGACCGAGAGCATGCGCAGAGCGAGGGAGTGGCGGAGGTGAGAGCCGAGCGCATGCGCAGAGTGAGAGAGTGGCGGAAGTGAAGCGGTGGCGGAGGAGGAAGCGCCATGTGAGTGAGGGGCGGCGGGGCCGGGCCGTGTCCCTCGTGTCCCCTCCCGGTCCCTCGTGTCGCGCTGTGTCCCCTCCGTGTCCCTCTTGTCGCGCTCTGTCCCCTCGTGTCCCTCCCGCTCTTCAAGGCCCCGCGTTTCCCGCGGTGTTCGCGGCCACCCTGTCCCCCCTCGGTGTCCCCGGTTCCACCCCTCGGTGTCCCCCGGTTGTGACCCGGTTCCGCCCCTTTGTGTCCTCTCGGTGTCCCCTCACCGGTTGTGACCCGGTTCCGCCCTTCTGTGTCCCCTCGGTGTCCCCTCAGTGTCCCAACTCCCGCTGTCCGGGTATCCCCGGTATTGCCAATGTCCCTGTCACTGTCGCAGGGAGGCGCTGGCCGTCAGCAGGAGGTGGCACTGTGTCCCTGTCACACTGTCCCTGTCCCGGGGAGGTGGCGCTGTCCCTGTCACACTGTCCCTAACCCGGGGAGGTGGCACTGTCCCTGTCACACTGTCCCTGTCCCGGGGAGGTGGCACTGTCCCTGTCACACTGTCCCTGTCCCGGGGAGGTGGCGCTGTCCCTGTCACACTGTCCCTGACCCGGGGAGGTGGCACTGTCCCTGTCACACTGTCCCTGTCACACTGTCCCTGTCCCGCGGAGGTGGCACTGTGTCCCTGTCACACTGTCCCTGTCCCGGGGAGGTGGCACTGTGTCCCTGTCACGCTGTCCCTGTCACGCTGTCCCTGTCACACTGTCCCTGTCACACTGTCGCTTTCGCTGTCGCAGGGAGGCGCTGGCCGTCGCCGCCCAGCTCTGCGGGCCGGAGCTGGAGCGCTACGGGCGCTGCGTGGCCGCGAGCCCCGGGAGCTGGCACCAGGATTGTCACCAACTGTCCCTGAGCGTCACCGCCTGCGCCTCCAACCAGTGAGTGATGGGCTCTGGGGGCTCTGGGGACACTGGGATTGTCACCAAGTGTCCCTGAGCGTCACCGAGTGTAGCTCTGACCAGTGAGTGACACACTGGGGACGCTGGGATTGTCACCAAGTGTCCCTGAGCGTCACCGAGTGTAGCTCCGACCAGTGAGTGACACAGACTGGGGACACTGGGGGCACTGGGATTGTCACCAAGTGTCCCTGAGCGTCACCGAGTGTAGCTCTGACCAGCGAGTGACACAGACTGGGGACACTGGGATTGTCACCAAGTGTCCCTGAGTGCTACCGAGTGTAGCTCTGACCAGTGAGTGACACAGACTGGGGACACTGGGATTGTCACCAAGTGTCCCCAAATGTGAGTGACACACACTGGGGACTCTGATCCCGATCCATGGGGCAGATCCCAGGGATGGGTCCCGTGGCATCAATCCCAATCCTGATGTTTTCCCCGATATTTTCCCATTTTTTCCCCAATATTTTCCCATTTTTTCCCCGATATTTTCCCATTTTTTCCCCGATATTTTCCCCAATGTTTCCCCGGTATTTTCCCTGATATTTTCCCATTTTTCCCCCCTGTTTTCCCTGATATTTTCCCCTTTTTCCCCCCTGTTTTCCCGCCGCCCCGCAGCCCCCTGGTGCGCCGGATCCGCCGGGATTGCTCCAACTCCTTCGGGGCCTTCGAGCGCTGCCTGCGGGAGCGGCCCCAGCGCGCGGCCGAGTGCGGCCCCCACGTCAGCCAGTTCCTGCTGTGCGCCCAAAATGTCACCCGGAGTGCCACCCCTGGGGACAGCCCGAGTGCCACCCCCAGGGGCACCTCCACAGGTGAATTTTGGGGTAAAAACGGGAATTAAACCCCAAATGTCGGCCAGCTCCTGCTCTGCACCCAGTGCCACCTCCACAGGTGGGGCTGGAACCCCTGGAAGGGAATTTGGAGCTGGAATTTTGGGATAGGAATGGAAGTTAAACCCTAAAAATGGCCCTGGCCCCTCCTGCCTCAGGAAATGCTGGAAATTTGGAATTTTGGGACAAAAGTGGGATTTGAATTCCCTAAAACCCACCCAGGTGGCATTTTTTTTTTTTTTTTTTCCCCATGGAAAAGCTGGAGAAAGGAAATTTGGGAAAAAAATTGGAATTTTGGGATAAAAATGTGATATATTTTTTTTTCCCTTTCTTTCCCTCCCCAGAGAATCCCTGGAATTAAAACCCATCCAGGAATGCCAAGAAAGCCTCAGAATCTTCCGGAATCTCCTCCCAAATCCTGGGAATTGCCCCTCTGGGAAAGGAGCCCTGGGATGTGGGGCCTGATCCGCAATTCCCTGCGGATTCCTGGGCTTTTATCCCAAAAATTGGAGGAAGAAATTAAAATTATAGTGGGGTCTCCCCAGGAATCTTCGGGATGGGACCAAAAATTCTGCTTTTCCTTCTTTTCATTCCAAATTTTTTCCTTTTTTCCCCTCTTTTTTTTCCCCATCTTTTCCTCCTTTTTCCCCCCACCTTTTCCCTCTTTTCCAGCTTTTCCTTGGCTCCCTCCCAGTTTTTGGGGTTTCTTTGGGAATCTCGTGGTCCCACGGAATTATTCGGAGATTGGAGTCACTGTTTTCCATGGAAAAAAAACCCTCCAGGAATTCTGGAAGCCTTCTCAACCCTTGGGAGCCCCGAAATTCCCGGGAATTCCAATCCCACCCCCCCCAAATTCCAAAACTTTTCTCTCTTTTTATTTTCCTTTTTTTTTTTTTTCCTGGGATTTATTTCCCACCAGACATGCAAAAAAAAAAAAAGAAAAAAAAAAAAAAAGAAAAAAAAAAGAAAAAGAAAAAGGAGGAAGCATTCCCAAAAATTTCCCCCCCAAAAAATTCCCCAAAATTGGCACGGGAGCAGAGGGAAAATACCAAATTCCAGCGGAATCCTGGGGGGGGGGGTCGAACCCAGTTTTTTTGGGATTCCCAGGGCTGGGATTTCTGGGATTTTCGGGAATTCCGGGGTGTCAGGAGGTGAAGTAGGAGCTCTGCATGGAGTACAGGCGCTCCATGGGATTCCCGGGCTCGGGGATTTCGGGAATTCTGGCATTCCCAAGGATCAGCTGCTGGGAATTCTCCATGGAGATCAGGGCCGCTCCCAAGGATCCCAGGGTGTCCCCGTCCAGCTCCTGGAAAACTCCCTCGGAGTCTGGGAAAAGGTGGGAAAAATTAGGAAAAATCAGGAAAAATCGGGCAAACCGGGATGGGGCCTGGGGATTCCCGGAATTCTCTGCAGTTACCGAAGGGCCGGAGCTCCGGGGGCGTTCCCCGGAACGTTCCGGCCTCGCCCTCGAATCCGCCGGGCTCCAGGGGCGGCGGCGGAATCCGGGAAAACGGGACCAGGATCCGCTGCAGGCCTGGGAATGCCGGCATGTGGGATATTGGCATGTGGGATATCGGGTGTGGGATATCGGGTGTGGGATATTGGGATGTGGGAATGCCGGGATGTGGGATATCGGGTGTGGGATATCGGGTGTGGGATATCGGGATGTGGGATATCGGGTGTGGGATATTGGGTGTGGGATATCGGGTGTGGGATATCGGGTGTGGGATTTTGGGATGTGGGATATCAGGTGTGGGATGGGGATGTGGGAATGCCGGGATGTGGGATATCGGGATGTGGGATATTGGGTGTGGGATATCGGGTGTGGGATATCGGGTGTGGGATATCGGGATGTGGGAATGCCGGGATGTGGGATATCGGCATGCGGGATATCGGGTGTGGGATATCGGGATGTGGGACGGGGATGTGGGATATCGGGATGTGGGATATCGGGTGTGGGATATTGGGATGTGGGATATCGGGATGTGGGATATCGGGTGTGGGATATCGGGTGTGGGATATTGGGATGTTGTGACTTCCCGATTTCCGATCCCTCCATCCCTGATCCACCCCATCCCCATTTTCCCATCCCCGTTTTCCCATTCCCGTTTTCCCACCCCCATTCCTGTCATTCCTGACCCTCCTCATCCTCATTCCCATCCCGGCCGCTCCTCCCGGCTCCTCTCCCGCCTGGAATTCCCCCTCTGGAATTCCCGAGCTGCTCCTGCTGCTGCTGCCTGCGGGCAATCTTCTTCATCTGGGAGGGAAAAAAAAAAACACAACACGGGAAAATCCCGGGAAAATCCCAGGAAAATCCCGATTCCGGGGGATTTGGGGTTGTTTTCTCATCCCGGAATTCCAGGAATTCCCACCTTGGCTCGTTGGTTCTGGAACCACACCTGGACCACCCGGACCGTCAGCCCCGTCTCGGCCGCCAGCGTCTCCCGCACCTGGAAAAATCCCCCTCGGAATTCCGGGAAGGAGAATGGGAACGGGGGAAAAATCCCTCGGAATTCCGGGAAGGAGAACGGGAATGGGGGAAAAATCCTTTGTGATTCCAGCCCCCGATCCCAATTCCAGAACCCCATCCCAAAATCCCGAAATAATCCAGGATCAGTCCCGGCCCATTCCCGGCCCGTTCCCAGCCCGTTCCAGAACGTTCCGGCACCTTCCGGCAGGGTTTGGAGGAGACCTCGAAGGAGGCCTTGAACGCCCGGCGCTGTTGGGAGCTCAGGATGGTTCGGGGCCGCTTGGAGCGTTTGGGGTCCTTCCCGCCGGAATTCCGGGAGCACCGGGAATCCCGGCCCTCCTCGTCCTCGCTCCGAGCTGCGGCCAGGAAAACAAACAACAAAAAAAAAAAAAAAGAGAATTTTGGGGGAAAAAAATCAGAATCCTTCATTGGGACTTGGAATTCCCAGAGGATTTTGGGTTTTTTTGGGGCTGTTCCAGGCCTTGAATTTCCAAGGAAAGGTTTGGCTGTTCCAGCCCTAAAAAATTCTCAAGAGATCTCCCCAAACAATAAAAAAATCCCCAAAAATCTTAAAAAAAACTTACGCAAAAGACTCTCAAAAAAATTCCAAAATATTCCCCAAAACCCCTCTAAAAAAATAATCATTAAAAAAATCCCTAAGAAAATTGAAAAAAAGTACATCCCAAAAACCCCTAAAAATACACCAAAAATTCCCTAAAAATTTCCAAAAAAATAAACCCCCAAAAAATCCCGAAAAAAATACCCCCAAAAACCCAAACCCCCCCTGAAAAAAATATCCCCAAAATTACCAAAAAATAAAAAGAAAAAACCCTAAAAAATCCTGAAAAATGCCACGAAAATACCCCAAAAAAACCCCCAAAATTCCCTAATTAAAAATTAAAAAAAAACAAAAACAAAAAATCCCGAAAAAAATACCCCCAAAAACCCCAAACCCCCCCTGAAAAAAATCCCCAAAATTCCCAAAAAATAAAAAGAAAAACCCCTAAAAAATCGTGAAAAATACCCCGAAAATACCCCAAAAAATCCGAAAAAAAACCCCAAAAATCCCAAAAAATTCCCCCCAAACCCCCCAAATTTATTATTATTACAAATCATTGTTTTACCTCCGTCCTCGGCGGCGGGCCCGCTGGTCCCGGTGGTGCCGGTGGTGCCGGTGGTGCCGGTCCCCGCGTGGCCGCGGCACAGGATGCGCCCGTCGCGCAGCACGAACTCGTCCCCGCTGCGGAGGCGGCGGCCGCAGGAGCCGCAGCGGAGGCAGCGCTCGTGGAAGACGCGGCCCAGGACGCGCAGGACGCGCTCGGAGCGCCCGAGCGCGCCCCGGCAGCGGCTGCAGCAGCGCGGGAACAGCCTGCGGATGGCCGGGGGTTATGGGGGAAATGTGCCCGGGTTTGGGGGGAAATGGCCCGGGTTTGGGGGGAATTATCCCCGGGTTTGGGGGGAAATATCCCCGGGTTTATGGGGGGAAATATCCCCGGGTTTGGGGGGAAATATCCCCGGGTTTATGGGGGGAAATGTCCCGGGTTTGGGGGGAAACGTGCCCGGGTTTGGGGGGAAATATCCCCGGGTTTGGGGGGAAATATCCCCGAGTTTATGGGGGAAATATCCCCGGGTTTGGTGGAAAATATCCCCGGGTTTATGGGGGAAATATCCCGGGTTTGGGGAGAAAATATCCTGGGATTCAGAGAAAATATCCCCAGGATTTGGGGGGAAACGTGCCCGGGTTTGGGGGGAAATATCCCCGGGTTTGGGGGAAAATATCCTGGGATTCAGAGAAAATATCCCCGGGTTCATGGGGGGAAATGTGCCCGGGTTTGGGGGGAAATATCCCCGGGTTTGGGGGGAAAATATCCCCGGGTTTGGGGGAAATATCCTGGGATTCAGAGAAAATATCCCCCGGATTTGGGGGGAAACGTGCCTGGGTTTGGGGGAAAATATCCCCAGGATTTGGGGGGAAATATCCCCAAGATTCGGGGGAAAATATCCTGGGATTCAGAGAAAATATCCCCAGGATTTGGGGGGAAACGTGCCCGGGTTTGGGGGGAAATATCCCCCAAATTTGGGGGGAAATATCCCCAGATGTGGGGGAAAAATATCACCAGATCTGGGGGGAAAATATCTCAGAATTTGGGAGAAAATATCTCAGGGTTTGGGGAAAAATATCCCTGGATGTGGGGGGAAAGTATCCCAGGATTTCACAGGGAAAAGAAAGAGGATTTGGGGGAAATAACGGGACTGGGGGGAAGGATTTGGGATTTCGGGGGAAAAATCCTGGGATCTGGGGGGAAATCCCTGGGATTTGGCTTTTTGGGACATCCCCACCCTTTGTATCCCAGCATTTGGGGGGTTTTGGGATGTTCCCACCAGAATTCCCAAAAAAGGGGGACTTTTCCCACTTTTCCAGCCCCTTTTTGGCAATAAAGCAACCCCAAGCTCATAAAATCCCTGTCAGCTCCAATTAGTGGGGATTAAAATTCCCGGGAATTCCTGGAGAGCCTCTCCCAAGTTTTTTAATATCCCCAGAATCTGCTTAAATCCCAATAATTCCCTCGGGGTTTCCATGGAAACGGGAATGTGGGAAAAGCGGGGGGGGCTGGGTTGTTTTTTTTTTTTTTTTCCCAGGGATTTTGGGTTTTTCCGGAGGGATTTGGGAAAGGGGAGAAGCTCCCCAAAATTTGGGAATGGGGATTGGGAAATTGGGAAAACGGGAATGATCTCAAATCCCTCTTTTCCCAGGAGAATCCCCATTTTTGGGGCCCTGCTTTTTTTTTTTGGGAATGACAGGATTTGGGAGGAGCTGGACATTCCAGGGAAACACCACCCACGAAAATCCCAATTTTTGGGCCCCGTTTCCCTGGGAAAGGCCGGATTAGCCGAACATTCCAAGCAGCTTTTCCATGGGAAAAAAAAAAAAAAAACCCCGGAAAATTCCCATTTTTGGGATCCCTTTTCCACCCCTCCCACCCATGTGGAGGAAAACTTGGGACAAGCTCCCGTTTTTTGGGATTTTCCCATTTTGGGAGGGGGGGGATTTTTTTTTTCCCCCCTGTTTTCCCCTTTCCCAGCCGCATAAAAAACCGCAGGGAAAAAAAATAAAAAGGGATTAAAAAAAAAAAAAATATTTTCCGTTTTTTTTTTTTCCCCCCTTCGGTGCCAGAGCTGGGAATTCTGGGAATTTTAATAACGGAGCCGGGGCTGGAAAATTTAATAACGGAGCTGATCCGATTATCCCGGGTTTCTGGCAGAGCAATTTCCGCCGGGGCCGGGGGGGCCGGGGCCGCTGCTGGAATTGGATTTTCCGGAGGTTTCCCTTCCCGGCCGCTCGGATTTTATGGAAACCCCCGAGTTCCGGGAATTTTGGGGGATTTTCCCCCTAAAAAATCTGATTTTTTTTTTAATTTTAGTGCTCGTTTTCCTCATGGATTTGGGGTTTTTTGGGGGAAAAAATCAGGAAATGTTGGGGATTTTTTTTTTTTGGTGGTTTTCCTTAAAAGTGGGATTTTATTTTTGATTTTTTTTCTCCAAGATATTGTTTTTTTTTTTTTTTGGTAGGGGGAAAGAAGGAAAAAATAGGAAAATTTTAGGGTTTTGTAAAATGTTTTTTTCTCCTGGATTTGGTGGGGTTTTTTGGGGAAAAAAAGAGGGAAAAGAAGGGATTTTGGGCTGAGGTTTGGATCCATTAAAATTCCAGGCAGGAATTCTCCTCCCGATCTTATCCCACCTCAATTTCCTGTTGGGCTTTTCCAATTTCCGGCTTTTTCTGCCCATTCCGGGGGGAGGGAAAAAAAAAAAAATTGGAATAAAATAAAAAATGGGAGAAGTGGGAATGGGGGAGGGGAGGAATTAATGAGGATTTAATGAGAGGAGCTCATTAATGATTCATTAGGGGAGGGTTAATTAAAGGTGGGGATGGGCAGAGGGGGAGAAAAGTGGGAAAAATGGGAATAAAAAATGGGAATAAAAAAATTGGAATAAAAATGGGAATAAAAAGTGGGAATAAAGTCAGAATGAGATGGGAATAAAAAGGGGATATTAATAATTTTTGCAATAGTTATTAATATTTACAGTAATTAATATTGATGTTAATCCATCATATTTATTATCCAAATCTTTATTAGCAGTGATAAAAATTATTAATAATTAACAGGAACTGGACTAATAATTAGTGTTGATAATTGTTGTTACTAATGAGAGTTTTGTTTAATAATAATAGGAGAGTGGAATTGATTGGTAATAATTAATAATAGTTACTTATGGCTGATAATAATGCTAATAACTTGAATCAATTATTGTTAATGAGAAATAAGAATAAATAATAAGTAGAATAAAATAAAAATTTTAAAATAATAATAATAGAATAATAACAGATGGGTGGAATCTAATGGTACTAACGAGTGATTATTAATAACTAATAACAATGATATTAATTTTAATTAATTGTAATAGTAAGTAATATATAATTAGTAGAATTATTAGTGTTTAATAATACTAATCTGGATAATTATTAGGAATTATTATTAATGAGAAAATAGGTAAAGAAAGAAGGAAAAAACAGGGGAAAAATGGGAAAGAAGGAGAAAAATGTGAATTAAAAAAGAGGGCAAGAAAGAAAAACAGGGAAAGAAAAAATCAGGAAAAATGGGAAAAATCCAGCCCAGAATGGGGAAAAAACCCACGGGAAAAAATTCCCTTTTAATGAATCCCAGGAAATGAAGGGAATATGCAAATGAGGCTCCAGGAATTAGTGGGATTTGGGGATTTAATGGGATTTAGGGAATTCATTCCCCGGGATCCGTCATCCCACAAGGATCCGGGAAAACGGGAATGGGGAAAGTGGGGATGGGAATCCCAGAATTCCCAAATTTCCCCACCTAAATCCACACCCAGCACCCTTTTCCCTCTTTTTCATCCCAAAAAATCCCGGATTTCCCCCCAGTTTCCCAAATTTTCCCCTTTCCCCAGCCCTTGGAATCCAAATTCACAAATTTCCCAAACCTCGATCCCCAAAAGGCCCCAAAAAAAAAACAGGAAAAAGGCCCCAAAATCCCAGGGATTTTGACACGGATCCCGATTTTTTTCCAGGCTTTTGCCTCTGGAATTCACTGCTCCCCCATGGAATTAAAGATTAACCAAACCTGGGCCCCATTCCCGAAATTCGTCTGGGTGGGAGAGGGCACGGATCTGCTCCAGTGGAGCCAAAATTCCCATTTTTAACCTCGGGAATGGCCAAAATTCCGGGTTTCTGACACCTGCAATGACCAAATCCCAGAGTTTTTAACCCCCTGAGGTGGAAAATTCAGATTTTTCTCCGGGTTTTTTATGGGAATTTTGGGTCTGGGTGCTTGGAAAAGTGAGAAAATAGGGGGAAAAAAGGGGAGGAAATGTGGGAATTTGGTTTTCCTGAGGATTCCCCAAATCCTGGGCCCAAATTCCCGGGGTTTTCCCCATCCATGGGCCGGGAACATCCGGGACTGGAGGTTCCTGGGAATTCCTGAGGGGATCCCGGTGGGAATTTGGGGATGGGGCGGGATCAGATCCCAAAAAAAAAAACCCCCCGAAATTCCAGGAAAAGCCTCAAAAACCTGAGGAAAAAGGAGCTGGGAGAGGAGTTCAAGGCGAGTTCATCCCAAAAAATTCCGGAGGAGGAGGAGGAGGAGGCCGGGAACGGCTCCAAGGGCTCGGATCCCTCCCGAATTCCCAGAAATCTGACTTCAAAGGGATTCCGAGGGGAGTTTTCCTCCCTTTTTTGCTTTTTTCTTTTTCTTTTCCCGATTTACGGGACAGGTGCCTCTGGAAGGGGCCCTGGGGAGGGGAGAATTCCATGAAAAATCCCTTTGGATTTGGGGTTTCCGTGGGGAAAACGATCCTCCTTCTCCTCACCCAATTCCTTGGGAAAAAGCCGGGGGAAAAGCGGGGAGAATTCCTGGGAAAATGGGAAAAATCGTGGAAAAACCAGGGAAAAACCTTGGGAAGTGGGGGGAAAACCTGGAAGATGGGGAAAATCAGGGGGAAAATGGGAAAATAATGGAAAACCAGGGGAAAACCCTTGAAAAAGGGGGAAAAAAAACCCTTGAAAATGGGGAAAATCAGGGGGGAAAAGGGGAAAATTGGGGGAAAAACGGGGGAAAGAAGGAGAAAACTTGGGGAAAAAGGGAAAATCGGGGGAAAAAGGGGAAATCGGGGTAAAAAAGGGGAAAATTGGGGTAAAAAAGGAGAGAAAGGGGTAAATTGGGGGAAAATTGGGGGGAAAAAAGGGGAAATTGGGGGGAAAAGGGGGAAACTGGGGGAAAAAAGGGGAAATTGGGGGGAAAAAGGGGAAATTTGGGTGGAAAAAGGGAAAATCGGGGTAAAAAAGGGAAAATCGGGGTAAAAAAGGGGAAAATTTAGGGAAAAAAAAGGGGGGAAATCGGGGTAAAAAAAGGGGGAAAATGGGGGTAAAAGGGGGGAAATCAGGGTAAAAGGGGGAATATCGGGATAAAAAAGGGGAAAATGGGGGTAAAAAGGGGAAATCGGGGTAAAAAAGGGGGAAATCGGGGTAAAAAAGGGGAAATCGGGGTAAAAAAGGGGAAATTGGGGTAAAAAAGGGGAAATCGGGGTAAAAAAAGGGGAAAATGGGGTAAAAAAGGGGGGAAATCGGGGTAAAAAAGGGGAAATTGGGGTAAAAAAGGGGAAATCGGGGTAAAAAAGGGGGAAATCGGGGTAAAAAAGGGGAAATCGGGGTAAAAGAGGGGAAAATCGGGGTAAAAAAGGGGAAAATCGGGGTAAAAGAGGGTAAATGGGCGGGAGCGGCCGCACTCACCGCTCGTAGTCGGGCGCGCAGAGCAGGCGGCGCTCGCGGCTGAAGCAGCGGCCCCGCAGGGCGCGGCCGCACTCGGAGCAGCGCAGGCACCGCTCGTGCCACGAGCGCTCGTTCACCCGCAGCAGGAACCGGTCCCAGATGCCGCGGCCGCAGCCCGCGCACAGCACCGGGAGCGCGGCGGGACGGGAGCCTGGGGACGGAGAGAGAATGGGGGAAATACGGGGGAATGGAACGGAGAGATTGGGGATATTGAGAGATTGGGGGGAAATCCCGGGAAATTGAGAGTTTGGGGACGGGAGAGAGATTGGGGGAAATACGGGGGAATGGAGAGATTGGGGAACGGAGAGAGATTGGGGGGAAATCCCAGGAAATGGAACGGAGAGATTGGGGGAATGGAGAGACTGGGGAACGGGGGAGATTGGGGGGAAATACGGGGAAATGGAACGGAGAGATTGGGGGAAATACGGGGAAATGGAGAGTTTGGGAACGGGAGAGAGATTGGGGGGAAATCCCGGGAAATGGAGAGTTTGGGAACGGGGGAGAGATTGGGGGAAATACGGGGGAATGGAGAGATTGGGGATATTGAGAGATTGGGGGGAAATCCCGGGAAATGGAGAGTCTGGGAACGGGAGAGAGAATGGGGGAAAATGGGGAAATGGAACGGAGAGATTGGGGGGAATACGGGGAAATGGAACAGAGAGACTGGGGGGAAATCCCGGGAAATGGAGAGTCTGGGGAATGGAGAGATTGGGGGGAAAACGGGGAAATGGAGAGTTTGGGGGGAAATAGGGGGAAATGGAACGAAGAGATTGGGGGGAAATATGGGGAAATGGAGAGTCTGGGGAAATAGAGAGATTGGGGAAAATACGGGGAAATGGAACGGAGAGATTGGGGAATGGAGAGAGATTGGGGGGAAATATGGGGAAATGGAACGGAGAGATTGGGGGAAATACGGGGAAATGGAGAGTCTGGGGAATGGGGGAGAGATTGGGGAAATTGAGAGATTGGGGGAAATCCCAGCAAATGGAGAGTCTGGGGAATGGAGAGAGATTGGGGGGAAATATGGGGAAATGGAGAGTTTGGGGAACGGGGGAGATTGGGGGGAAATCCCGGGAAATGGAGAGTTTGGGGAAATTGAGAGATTGGGGGGAAATCCCGGGAAATGGAGAGTCTGGGGGAAAATCTGCAAAAATCTGGGAGAAATTGGGGGGGGGAAAAAGAGAAAATTTGGGGAAAATTGGAAAATTCGGGAGAAATATGGGGGGATTTGGGGCAAAATGTGGGAAATGGGAGGATTTAAGGAAAACCAGGGAAATTCAGGGGGGAAACATGGGAGAACCCAGGAAGAACGGGGTTGGACATCAGGGAAATTCCATGTGGAGCTCCCAGAGATCCAAAGGAATATTTTTCCATGGCAAAAAGGGGAATTTGGGGGATTTTGGGAAGGAATCCAGGGGATTTGGGGTTTTTTTTTTCCTCACTCCGGATTTTTGGGAATTTTATTTTTCTACCTCATTTTTATCCCAACTTTCATCTCTGGCAGCTCCTCAAAGGGAAGGGAGGGAGGGAAAAATTCCAATTTTTCTCTGGCAGCGCCTCCTCCTCCTCCTCCTCCTCCCGAGGCCATTCCCGGGTTTCTTCTGCCCGAATTCCGGGAAAAATCTGGCCCCAGATCCCAGGGATGGAGCCCAAAAGTCCCAGGAAAAACGGGAATGAGGGGAGCCCCTGATCTTGGATTTAATTTGGAATTTTGGTCCCAGTTTTGATTTGGAATTCCAATCCCAATTTCAATTCCAAATTCAAACTCCCAAATTCCAAGGCCAGCTCCGATTTGGACCCCGAAATTCCAAATTCCAATTCCCGGGGGTTTTCCAAAGATTTTTATCCCGTTCCTGAGGTTTTTCCCCACACTTTTCACTCCCCCAATCACATTTCCCCCCCACCGCGGGTTAAAATCGAGGATTTAAAATCCCAATTCCTGATTAATTTGGAGGGGAAACCCGGGAATAAATAAAGAGGGAATGAGGACGAATTTTCGGGAATTTCTGGGGATGTGGGATCAGGGAAAAATCCCCGGGAAAATCCTGGATTCCAGCCCGGGAAAATGAAAAAAAAACCCACGGGAATTCTGCCTAAAAAAAAAGAAAAAAACGAAATTGGGAAAAGGGGGGGCTCGGAGCCGGGACAAAAAACGGGAATAAAGAGGAAAACTCTGGGAAAAACGGGAAAAGGGACCCGGGAATGGGAAAAAACATCCCGAAATGGGGGATGCTGGAGGGAATTTTGGGGATTCCCGGTGTCATTCCCGGAATTCCCGGTACTCACCGGCTCCCGGGAGCGGCGCTCCCTGCTCCCGGCAGGACGGAGCCTCCTCCGGCTTCATCCCGGCGGCTGCGGGGCAGAGGAAACGCCGGGAAAAGCGGGAAAAAGCGGGAAAAAGCGGGAAAAAGCGGGAAAAAAGCGGGAAAAAAGCGGGATGGGAGCGGGGGAAAAGCGGGAAGGAACCGGGAAAGCGCCGGGAGAGGAGCGGGAAGGAGACCGGGAACGGAGCGGGAGAAAATCGGGAACGGGGAGGGACAGGGACAGCACCGGGATGGGAGCGAGGGAAAACCGGGCAAAAAACCGGGATGGGAGCGAGGGAAAGGACCGGGAAGAGCCCGGGATGGGAGCGGGAGCGGACCGGGGGGGAACCGGGCAGAAACCGGGAGCGGAGAGGAGAAAAACCGGGAAAGCGCCGAGATCGGAGCGGGAAGAGCTCCCGGGATGGGAGCGGGGGAAAATCCGGGGGAAAACCGGGATGGGAACGGGGGAAAAACCGGGAAGAGACCGGGATGGGAGCGGGGGAAAAAGCGGGGAAAAACCGGGATGGGAGCGGGGGAAAATCCGGGGGAAAACCGGGATGGGAACGGGGGAAAAACCGGGAAGAGACCGGGATGGGAGCGGGATAGGAGCGGGGTAAAACCGGGAAGAGACCGGGATGGGAGCGGGGTAAAACCGGGATGGGAGCGGGGTAAAACCGGGATGGGAGCGGGATAGGAGCGGGGTAAAACCGGGGGAAAACCGGGATGGGAGCGGGGGAAAAAGCGGGGAAAAACCGGGATGGGAGCGGGGTAAAACCGGGATGGGAGCGGGGTAAAACCGGGATGGGAGCGGGTCAAACCGGGATGGGAGCGGGGTCAAACCGGGATGGGAGCGGGGTAAAACCGGGATGGGAGCGGGTCAAACCGGGATGGGAGCGGGGCAGGAGAACCGGGAGGCGCCGTCCCCGGGGCCGCTCCTGCGGCTCCTCCCGGGGCTCCCGAACCGCCCCGGCACCGCCGCTCACCCCGCCCGTCGCGACTGTCGCGACACGGCGGCCCCGACGGGACCCGCAGGGAACTCACCGGGACCGCGACGGCGACACCGGGACGGGGACGGCGACAACGGCGCCGCGATCGCGACAGCGGCGGCGACAGCGGGATCGCGACAGTGACACCGGGCCCGGCGCGCCCCCGGCCGTGCGCGCTCCCGGGGGAGGGGCGGGGGCGCGCACGGGGGAGGGGGCAGGAAAGGGGGGGGGGGGAGGGAATTCCCATTTTTTTGGGAATTCCCATTTTTCCCCCCCAAAACTGGGAATTCCCCCCAAAAAAATGGGAATTTCCAAACCCAAAAAATGGGAATTCCCAAACGTAAAAAAATGGGAATTCCCAAAAAAACCCCAGGAATTCCATCCCCAAACCCAAAGGAATTGGGGGAAACTTGGGATCCAGTTGGATTTGGGGAAAATCCAGAGGGAATTGGGGGGTACGGGAAGGACAAACTCCCAAAATTCCCAAATCCCTGTGGGATCCCAGACCCACCCAGGACCTGAATCCCCAAACCCACCAAAACCCCAGAAAATTTCCCCTGGAAATCCAAATTAAAGAGGGAAAAAAAAATAGGGAAAAGCTTGGGAAATGCTGATTTTTAGGGAAAATTATGGAAAATGGGGAATGGGGCCGAAAAAGTTCCCAAATCCCTGAATCTCCAGAGAGTTTTACCTTAAAACCACCAAAGTCCCGGGAATCTCCCACCCCAAACCTCCCAAAATCTGGGAAAACTCAAGGAGAAAGTTCAGGAAAACCCCAAATTCGCCCCAAACCAGAGCAGGAATCTCCTTTTATTCCCTTAAAAAATCCACATTTTTTTTTCGGGAATTTCGCACCGCAGCCCCGCAGGGGGGTGGGAAAATCGGGAAAATCGGGAAAATCGGGAAAATCGGGATCCCGGATTTCAGTGGGCGAAGGGGGATTTTTGGGAGAGGGGGCGCTCGCAGACGAAGAAGCACTCGAAGGTGCAGTGGACGTCGTTCCACTTGCCGGAGATCCAGAGGTGGGCGCAATCCTCGTTCTTCCCGCTGTCGTTGGGCTCCCCCTCCCGCCAGAACCTGGGAGGAAACCCGGGATTTGGGATGGGGAGGGCTGGCGGGAGGAAGCCCCCGTGAAAATTCACAATTCTTTTGGGGGGGGGAAATTCAGCAAAATCCCGAGTTTTGGGGAGTGAAACTCCCCGAAATTCCAACATTAAGGGGGAGAAATTCTCCCTAAATATTCCAGTATTTGGAGGGTTTTTTGGGCGGGAATCCCCCAGAATTCCAACATTCCAATCCCAACTCTGCAATCCCCAAATCCCAATTCTTCCCATTCTTCGCTTTCTGCGGAGAAAATTCCAAGAACACCCCCCCAAATTTGTGGGATTTCCGAGCAGGGAAAAAAATCCCAGTCTCAACTTTGGGGTGGAACTCTGGGGTTTTGGGGTGGAATTCTGGGATTTTGGGGTGGAATCCCGGGGTTTTGGGGTGGAATCCTGGGGTTTTGGGGTGGAATTCCGTGGTTTTGGGGTGGAATTCTGGGGTTTTGGGGTGGAACTCTGGGGTTTTGGGGTGGAATCCCGGGGTTTTGGGGTGAAACTCTGGATTTTGGGGTGGAATTCCGGGGTTTTGGGGTGGAATCCCGGGGTTTTGGGGTGAAACTCTGGGATTTTGGGGTGGAATTCTGGGGTTTTGGGGTGGAACTCCGGGGTTTTGGGGTGGAACTCTGGGGTTTTGGGAGCCGGGGCTCACGTGAAGGAGGATTTGTAGTCGGTGCCGTCGACCCATTCCCAGTTTCCCTCGGAATTGCGGTCGGTGAGGCCGATCCAGAAGCGCTCGTTCCGCGCGCGGGACATCAGGAACTGCTGCAGCGGGGAAAAACCGGGATCACCGGGGGCTTTGGGATCGGCGGGAAAAAAAGGGAAAATCGGGAAAATCGGGACAATCCGGGTTGGGATCAGGATCCGGATTTCAGATTTGGGATCGGGATCAGGATTTGGGCTCAGGATCCGGATTTTGGATTTGGGATTTGGGATTTGGGATTTGCTCGGGGAAGCTGACGCTGATGGCGAGGTTTGTGTGGCATTTGGGAATTCCCTTTGGGATTTAGGATTTGGGCTTCAAGGTCTGGGATTGGGGCTCAGGATTTGGGGTCAGGGGGATTTGGGCACAGGATTCAGGATTGGGATTCGGATCAGGATGGGGATTTGGCCACGGGACTTTGGTATTTGGGATCGGGATCAGGGATGGGGATTTTTGGGATTTGGGATCAGGGTGGGGATCGGGGATGGGGATTTTTGAGATTTGGGAGCAGGATGGGATTTGGAATTGGGATTCGGGATTGGGATTTGGGGCTGGGATCAGGGTGGGGATTCGGGATTGGGATTTGGGGTTGGAATCAGGATGGGATTCAGGATTGGGATTTGGGGCGGGGATCAGGGTGGGATTCGGGATTGGGATTCGGGGTCAGGATGGGGATTCGGGATTGGGATTCGGGGTCAGGATGGGGATTCGGATTGGGATTCGGGGTCAGGATGGGGATTCGGGATTGGGATTCGGGGTCAGGATGGGGATTCGGGGTCAGGATGGGGATCAGGGACAGGGATTTTGAGGATTTGGGATGGGGAGTGGGGATTTCAGGGATCTGGGATCAGGGAATTTCGGGAATTTTGGGAATTTCGGGAATTCCGGGGTCACCTGCTCGGCGAAGCTGCCCACCACGGCCAGGTCGGCGCGGCGCTCCCGGCACCGCTCCCGCGCCCGCTCCCAGCTCAGCCGAGCCAGCGAGAAATAATAACAATTCCCAGAGAAATATTCCCATTCCCGGGAATCCGCCCCGCACGGGAACACTGCTGGGAGCGACGCGGGGAGGGAAAACTCACCCAGAGCCCGGGACTCGGGAATCCTCTGCCCCTGAATCCCCCAGGAACGGGGAAACCGGGGATACCCAGAGGGGAAGATTTCAGGGAATTGCGGGGAATTTCGGGACTTACGGAAGGAATCCCAGCTGGAAAAATTCCACTCCTGTTTCTCCTGGTGGAGTTTGGAGGAAATGGAGGAAACTGGGGGGGGGGAGAAAAAAAAGAGGGAAAAATTCCACGAAAAATCTGAATTCTGCTTCTTTTGGGGGGGATTTCTAACACTTTGTATCCCAGTATTTGGGGAATTTGGGAATTTCCTGCCCCAGTTCCAGACAGAATTTGGGTTTTTTTTTTTTTTGGGGATTGGGATGGGAATGAGGGAATTCAGGGAATTTGGGAATGAGGGGAAATCAGGGAACTTGGGATGGAATGAGGGAATGAGGACAAAATTCCAGGATTTGGGATGGATGGAGGGGGGAGTTCCTCCACACAGAATTCGGGAATTACGGGGAATTTTGGGACTTGGGATGGGAATTCAGGGAATTCCGGGAACTGGGATGGATGGGAACAGAGAGGGGGGGAATTGAGGGGAATTGAAGGATTTGGGAACTCAGGGAATTGGGATGGATGGGAATTGGGGGGAATTGAGGGGAATTGAAGGATTTGGGACCTCAGGGAATTGGGATGGATGGGATCTGGGGGGAATTGAAGGATTTGGGACCTCAGGGAATTGGGATGGATGGGAATTGGGGGGGAATTGAGGGGAATTGAAGGATTTGGGAACTCAGGAATTGGGATGGATGGGAATTGGGGGGAATTGAGGGGAATTGAAGGATTTGGGACCTCAGGGAATTGGGATGGATGGGATCTGGGGGGAATTGAAGGATTTGGGACCTCAGGGAATTGGGATGGATGGGATCTGGGGGGAATTGAGGGGAATTGAAGGATTTGGGACCTCAGGGAATCGGGACGGATGGGACCTCAGGGAATTGGGGGAATTCATGGATTTGGGATCTCAGGGAATTGGGGGAATGAAGGATTTGGGATCTCAGGGAATCGGGACAGATGGGACCTCAGGGGAATTGGGGGAATTGAAGGATTTGGGACCTCAGGGAATTGGGAATGGATGGGATCTGGGGGGAATTCAAGGATTGGGACCTCAGGGAATCGGGACAGATGGGACCTCAGGGAATTGGGGGAATTGAAGGATTTGGGACCTCAGGGAATTGGGACGGATGGGATCTGGGGGGAATTGAAGGATTTGGGACCTCGGGGAATCGGGACGGATGGGAATTGGGTGTGAATTTCCCGGCCTGGATTCCGGGAACGCCGAGGAATTCCGGGGTTTGGGGCGGCTGTTTTGGGGGCTCTGGGAATGTTTAGGGGGGCCCCCACCTCTGGCCAGCGCCAGGGCGCTGAGGCCCAGCAGCAGCAGCGAGGAGAGCGCCAGGCTCAGGTACACGGCCGGGAAGGAGCGGAGCCGCGCCGGGAGCGCCCCGGCGCCTGGGAAAACGGGGGAAAAACGGGAAATTGGGAAAAACGGGGGGAGAAACGGGGGGAAATTGGGAAAAAACGGGCAGAAAATGGGAATAAAATGGGGAGAAATGGTGAGAAACGGGGGGAAATGGATAAAATTGGGAGAAATGGGGATAAAATGGGAAAGAAATGGGATAAAAGGGGGAAAATCAGGGGAAAATGGGAAATAAAGGGATAAAAACGGGGAAAACAGGGGGAAATGGGAGGAAACTGAGATAAAGTGGGGGGAAATGGGGAAAACCCAATAGATCCAGGGGTAATCCAACAAATTCGGGGAAAAATGGAGGGGAAATGAAAAGAAATCCAGGGAAACTTTGGGAAAATCCAGGAAAATGGAGGGGAAATGCGAGGGAAAAATCCTGGGAAAAATCAGGGAAAAATTCAAGGAAAATGTGGGGAAAATGCAAGGAAAATCCCTCCCTGCTCTTCCCAGGATTTCCCCCCAGCTTTTCCCACTCTGTTTGTCAGGGGTTAATCAATAACCGGGAATGCTCCGAGTTTGCCGCCAGGACGGGAAAATTTAGGAATAATTGTGGGTTTTGGGCTTCTTTTATTGGGATTCTTTTGGGAATTATTCAGGGATTCGTTCCTGATTAATTCCAGAATTATTATATTTGGAATCATTTGCTTCAATGATTCCTTCGGGAATTATTTAACGAATTCTTTTGGGAATTGTTGGGGAATTATTCAGGGAATTATTTTTTAATAATTTCCCAATTACTTCTGGAATTGTTTTGGGATTCCCAGGAATTTGAAGCTCCCCGGAGTGGAATTTTTGGAATTATCCAAATTCCCTGATCAGGGGAGGAAGAGAGAAGGAAAGGCCCTAGGAAAAACCCTTGGAAAAGCAAGAAAGATCCAGGAATTCCACCTGGGATGAGGCGCAGTTCATCCTGGAGCTCCTCCTCGTCCATCCTGGGATTGTTGGGGGGATTTTTTTGATTTTCTGGATCAGAGGCCACAGGGGCACTCCGGAGATGATCCTGGGATTGTTTCAGTTCCTCCTTCCTCTCCAGAGGGTTAAAATTTAATCAAGAATTTTTTTGGGGCTGGATTTTTGGGCTTGGAGCCATTCCAGAGAATTGCAGGTTTTTTTTTTTTTTTCCCTTCATCCGAGGATTTTTTTTGATTTTTAGTGGTTTTTCTTTTGATTATTAAGTGGATTTTTTAGGGGGTTTTTTTTTGATGGAGGGGGGGATTTCCGTGGACATTTGTGGGATTTTCAAGGATTTTTGTGAGGCTTTCATTGATTTTTATGGATTGTTCTGATTTTTTTTTTAAATTTTAGGGCAATTTAAAAGATTTTAATGGATTCCTTGGACCTTGATGGGTTATTTTTTGGGTTGCAGGGCATTTTTTTAATTTTTCTGGATTAAAAAAAAAAAGGTAAATTTTTGTGCATTTTTGGGCATTTTTAAATTTATTTTGAGGATTTTGGGCAATGTTTCTTTGAATTTCGGAGATTTTGGCAAATCTTTATTGGAATTTTGGTGGCTGCTGGGGGGATTTTTTGGGAATTTTCAAGGATTTTTCCTCCTCCTTTGAATCAAAACCACAAATACGGAAAGAAAGCGAGCCTGGGAAATCTGAACAATCCCAAAAAAGCTTAGATTTGGGAACCAATCCCGCAATTCCGAGGTCACAGAGACCTGGATTTCATCACCAGGGCCAAATTCCGGCCGAATTTTTTGCCAAAATTCCCGAGGATTTGGGGTCAAAACGGACCAAAATGGCGGCAGGCCCTGAGGGGCGGTGGAAAGGGCGGGAAAAAAAGGGCGGGAAGAAGGTGGGGAAAGGGAAGGAAAAAGGCGAGGCCGGGGTGGCTCTGGGCGCCGTTCGTCCCCTGCCAGTCCCCGTTGTCCCCAGTGGCTCCTCAGAGCCCCCCATGGAACCCAAAGACCCCCCCAGTAACTCTCAGTAGCTCCCAGTAATCCCCAGTACCGTCCCGTGGGGGGGCCCAGGCCGCTCCTGCCGCCATCTTGGCCGTTGCTATCAACAAAACGCCGCTGCCAGGCAACGCTTCAGGTAACCGGCGTCGGCGTGACGTCACGTCCCATACACAATGATGTCAGTTCCGGGCCCAGCACAATGGCGGCCTGGAGGTACCCGGTGGGTTCTGGAGGCACCGGGAGCGCTCAGGAAATACCGGGACGCCCCTGAGGGGTCTAGGGGAGGCTCCGGAGGTCCCGGGGGGAGGCTGCGCAACCCCGTCGTTCCCCCCCCCCAAATCCGCCAACCCACCCCCCGTTGGCCTTAATTCCTACTGCGGATGAGATCCAGGACGGGATGAACGACCAGGAGCGGCTGACGCGTCCGCGCGGTGTCCCCCGGTTCTCCCGGTGTTCTCCGTTTTCCTCCCCACCCCCAGTTCTCTCCCTCCCATCCCCTCTGTGACCAAATCGGCGCCACGCTGAGGATTTGAACCGGCCGCGCGCGTTCTGGAGCGTTGAATTTATTGATAATAAAGCTGCTTTTGAAGTCCCGGTTATTTCGTGGTTATTCCCGGTGGGACCGGGACGACCTAACCAGCAGGAGTGGAGGCGGCAGTTCGTCTTTGCGTTCCGGTTAAGTTTGTCCACCCACGACCACCGTCCCTCCTTTCCCGCGCCCTTCTCGACTTCACCGCGCGCCTGATTGACGCGTGGCTCACCAATAGAATTGCGCGACGAAGGCCGCCGCGTCTGTTCCGACCAATGGAAGCGCGAGCAGGGCGGGTTTACCCGCCCCCTCCGCGCGCCGGTGTGGGCGGCCCGCGCAGGGCGGGCAGAGGGAAGGGAAGATGGCGGAGGAGGAGAAGCTGCCCGCGGGGTGGGAGAAGCGCATGAGCCGCAGCTCCGGTGAGGGCCTGAGGGCGTGGGGCTACCGGGGGAGGGCGCGGGGAAGGAGCGGCGGCGATGGGGGAGGTGGGAAGGGGGGGGGTGGCAGCGTTGGGCTCTGGAGGCGATGAGGGGGCGTGGGGGGGCGGTGCGTGAGGGGAATTTGACGGGGGGGGGCTCCGAATTGAGGGGGGGGGGGGTCTTGTGGGGATCATCGCCTCAGGGAGGGGGAGTCACTCTCGTGAGGGAAATTTGGGTGGAGGTCCCCAGTTCAGGGGGTTCTGAGGGGGGTCTTCACCTCAGGGAAGGGGGACACCTCCGTGAGGGAATTTTTGAGGGGGCGTCAACTCCGTGAGGGGAATTTGAGGGGGGTCTCCCTCGTGACGGGAATTTGGGGGGGGGGATCGTCGCCTCAGGGAAGGAAGGACCCCAGTTGAGGATTTGGGTGGGGGTCACTCCCCAGCAGGAAGGGGCTCAGAATTGGGGAGGTTTTTCGGGGGGTGAGAAGTTGATTTTTTGGGGTCCAAACTTGGTTCTGGGGGTCAGGGACCTTGTAGTTTTGGGGTCTATAACTTGGGGTTTGGTGAGTTGATCACTGATCAATAACCAATAATTGATCATATCCCCTAGGAAGGGTGTACTACTTCAACCACCTGATGGTGGGGTCAATCCTGGGGTCTATAATCTGGTTTTTGTATCTTTAAGCTGTTTTTTCACTGCCAATCTCTAACCAATCAGTGATCAATAGACAATAATTGATCAACAGCTCTGTGGGATGGTTTTATTGCTTCACCACTTTGATGAACACAAGTCTGTGTTGTCCATCAGTGGATTTTTGGGGTCTTTAATCTGGTTTTTGGGTTCCATAACCTCCATGTTCAGCATTAATCAGTAACTAATCACTGATCAATAACTAATATTTGATCAATAGCTCCCTGGGGAGGCTGTACTATTTCAACCACCAGACAAACGCCAGCCAGCAGGGTCATTGAGCTGGGATTTGGTGTGAATAACCTGTTTTTTTCAGCGTAAATCAATGCCTGATCACCAATCAATAACCAATAGCTGATCAATGACCCCATAGGACGCATGTACTACTTCAACCACCTGGTGAACACGAGTCAGCAGGGTCAATATGGGGGCCTGCCAGAGGGGTGTTGGTGCCAATAACCAGGATTTTAGATACCAATCAGTAACCGATCAACAACAAATAACCAATAGATGATCAATAACCGATCGATACCCCCTCAGGCCGGGTGTATTACTTCAACCACCTGACGAACGCCAGCCAATGGGAGCGGCCGAGCGGGGGCGCGCGGGCGGAGCCGGGGCGCGTGCGCTGCTCGCACCTGCTGGTCAAGCACAACCAATCGCGGCGGCCGAGCAGCTGGAGGCAGGAGCGCATCACCCGCTCCAAGGAGGAGGCGCTGGAGCTCATCAACGGCGAGTGCTGGGCGTTCCCGGGAATGCTGAGGGGGTCTGGGAATGACCGGGAATTCCTGGGAATGCCGGGGGGGTCTGGGATTCCTGGGAATCCTGGGAATGCTGGGGGGATCCTGGGAACCGCAGCTGGAGGCAGGAGCGCATCACCCGCTCCAAGGAGGAGGCGCTGGAGCTCATCAACGGTGAGTGCTGGGCGTTCCCGGGAATGCCAAGGGGGGTCTGGGAATGACGGGGAATTCCTGGGAATTCCTGGGAATCCTGGGAATGCCGGGGGGATCCTGGGAACCGCAGCTGGAGGCAGGAGTGCATCACCCGCTCCAAGGAGGAGGCGCTGGAGCTCATCAACGGCGAGTGCTGGGGGTTCCCAGGAATTCCCGGGAAAAAAAACCCTGGGAATGGTGATTTTGGGGGAAAAAAACAGTGGGAATTGTGTTTTTTTTTTTTTTTTTGGAAGAAAACCTGCAGGGATGTTTGTTTGGGGTGGTTTTGAGGATGTTTTGGGGCTCTGTCTCCTTTCCTGTGGAATTTGCGGCATCCGGGGAATTTCGGGAGTGGTTTTGATCCCTAAATTTGAGGTTTTTCCTGTTTTTTTTTTTCCAGGTTACATCCAGAAGATCAAATCAGGAGAGGAGGATTTTGAGTCTTTGGCTTCGCAGTTCAGCGACTGCAGCTCAGCCAAGGCTGGGGGGGACCTGGGAGCATTCGGGAGAGGTGAGGGATTCATCCCAAAAAAACTCCAAATCCCTCAATTCCAGGGGATTCATCCCAAAAAATTCCAAATCCCTCAATTCCAGGGATTCATTCCTAAAAAAACTCCAAATCCCTCAGTTCCACAGGATTCATCCCAATAAAACCCAAATCCATAGTTTTTTAGGGATTTATCCCCCCAAAAAACTCCAAATCCCCCATAATTCCAACTGGAATCAAGTCCCCCCCTTCAAATCCCTGATTTTTCTTTGGGAAACCCCCCAAATCCCAAATCTTTTATGGAATTTTGGGTGGTACTACCTCTTTTTTTAGGTTGAAACCTCCCTAAATGTGCGGGGTTTTTTTCCCTTTATGACACAAAATTCCATCCGGCATCAATCCAGCAGGACAAACTCCCGGAATCAATCCCCCCCTACCCCTTCCAAATCCCAGAGTTTTCCTCGGGAAGCACCCCGGATCCCAATTTTTTTTTGCGGAATTTCGGGTTGCAGGGCAGATGCAGAAGTTTTCCTCGGGAAGCACCCCGGATCCCAATTTTTTTTTGCGGAATTTCGGGTTGCAGGGCAGATGCAGAAGCCGTTCGAGGACGCCTCGTTCGCGCTGCGGGCCGGCGAGATGAGCGGCCCCGTGTTCACCGAGTCCGGGATCCACATCATCCTCCGCACGGAGTGAAGTGCCTTGGCAGGGCAGGGCCTCCGGGGAATCCACGGGGAGCCGGTGGGGACCCACGGGAATCTATGGAGGCCCTCAGGAATCCATGGGGAAGCCACGGGAATCCGTGGAAGTCCTGGGGGATCCGTGGGGATCCGCCGGGATCTGTAGAAATCTGTTAACTCCGCGGGAAGCTGTGGGAATTCTCAGGAATCCACGGGAATCCTCAGGAAATCCATGGGAATCTATGGAGATCCATGGGAATTCACAGGAATTCATGGAAGTCCATGGAGATCCATGGGAGTCTATGGGAATCCTCAGGAATTCACGGGAACTCACGGAAATCCTCAGGAATTGATGGGAATCTATGGAAATCCTCAGGAGTCCATGGGAATTCGTGGAGGTCCGTGGGAATCCTCAGGAATCCACAGGAGATCCATGGGAATCCACAGGAAATCCATGGAATCCACGGGAGTCCATGGAATCCACAGAAATCCATGGGAATCCACGGAAATCCATGGAATCCACAGAAATCCATGGGAATCCACAGAAATCCATGGGAATCCACAGAAATCCATGGGAATCCCGCCCTGCGCTCCCCACCACGAACTCCAGATCCCACAGCTCCATTATTCCCTCCTGGGTGGGAGGAAATACAGGGAATTCCTGCAGTTTTTGGGAATGTTGGGTCAGCCAGAGCCGGCTCCCGGCGGTCCCATGGTGGTGGCGGTGACAATGGCAACGATGGCGATGGCCAGCAGTGACAGTGACAGCCAGGACAATGGCCCACAGTGACAGTGACAGTGACAGTGACAGCAAGGAGAATGGCCCACAGTGACAGTGACAGCAAGGACAATGGCCAGCAGTGACAGTGACAGTGACAGCCAGGACAATGGCCAGCAGTGACAGTGACAGCCAGGACAATGGCCGACAGTGACAGTGACAGTGACAGCAAGGACAATGGCCAGCAGTGACAGTGACAGTGACAGCAAGGACAATGGCCAGCAGTGACAGTGACAGCAAGGACAATGGCCAGCAGTGACAGTGACAGTGACAGCAAGGACAATGGCCAGCAGTGACAGTGACAGTGACAGCCAGGACAATGGCCGACAGTGACAGTGACAGTGACAGCAAGGACAATGGCCAGCAGTGACAGTGACAGTGACAGCAAGGACAATGGCCAGCAGTGACAGTGACAGCAAGGACAATGGCCAGCAGTGACAGTGACAGTGACAGCAAGGACAATGGCCAGCAGTGACAGTGACAGTGACAGCCAGGACAATGGCCGACAGTGACAGTGACAGCAAGGACAATGGCCAGCAGTGACAGTGACAGTGACAGCAAGGACAATGGCCAGCAGTGACAGTGACAGTGACAGCCAGGACAATGGCTGACAGTGACAGTGACAGTGACAGCAAGGACAATGACCAACAGTGACAGTGACAGTGACAGCCAGGACAATGACAATGACCAACAGTGACAGTGACAGCAAGGACAATGACCAACAGTGACAGTGACAGTGACAGCAAGGACAATGGCCCACAGTGACAGTGACAGCAAGGACAATGACAATCACCAACAATGGTGACCATGACCATGACCAACGATGGTGACAACAACAATGACCATGACCAACGCTGGTGACAATGACCATGACCAATGATGTTGACAATGACGATGTCCAATGGTGGTGACAATGACAAATGAAGGTGACAATGACAATGCCCAATGAAGGTGACAATGACAATGACGGAAATGACCATGATGACTGCCACGGCAATGGCCAACAATGATGACAGTGATGATGATGATGATGACAGTGACAGTGGTGATGAATACAACAATGACGATGGCACCGATGATGACGACACCAATGACGATGACACCGATGACGATGACACCGCTGACAATGATTACACCGATGACACCGATGACAATGGCACCAATGACGATGACACCGATGACGATGACACCAATGACAATGACACCGATGACACCGATGACGATGACACCATGACGATGACACCGATGACAATGACACCAATGACACTGATGACAATGACACCGATGACAATGACGACAATGACAATGATGACACTGATGACAATGACACCGATGACAATGACACCGATGACAATGACACCAATGGCACCGATGACGATGACACCGATGACACCAATGACACCGATGACACCGATGACAATGGCACCGATGACAATGACACCAATAGCACCGATGACACTGATGACGATGACACCGATGACAATGATGACGATGACACCGATGACAATGATGACACCGATGACACCGATGACAATGACACCAATGACAATGACACCAATGACAATGGCACCGCTGACACCGATGACACCAATGACAATGGCACCAATGACAATGACACCAATGACACCGATGACACCAATGACAATGACACCGATGACCGCGCCACCGCCGAAGGTGCCGTGGCCAGTGCCAGGCCAGGCCCCTCCCCCACCCCCTGCATGTTTATTTAACTCATTCCTGCTCTTTTCTCCCCAAAAAACGCCCCCGATCCGAAGGCTCCGCTTGATTCAAGCCATTAATTAATAATTACTCGTTAATTAATAGCAAAGATGAGGCAGCTCCCGTGGTGTCCCTCCACAGCGTCCGTCCGGATTATCCCGGGAATTTCCTGGCACCATCGCTTGGACTTCCAAAAAACCGCCGGATTTTTGGGGTAAATTCACAGGAAATTGGGAAAAAGTGGCCGGAGTTCTGTTTTCCCGCCCTTTTGGGGCCACAGGTTTTCAGTTTGGGGTGAAAAAAAGTTGGATTTGGGGAGGTTTTTTCCGAGATTTTTTGGTTCTGCTGTTTCTTCTGCTTCGTTCAGTGGGAAAAAACCAGGAAAAATCCCAAAAATCCCAGCTTGGATCCGTGCAAAAATTCCCAAAAAAAGCTGTAAAGCCCCGGCTCTTTTCCTGCAGAAATAAATCCCCCTCCAGTGGAATTTCTGGTAATTCTGGGTCTTTCTTTCTCCCTCTTTTTTTTTTTTTTTTAATAAATTGGAATTTTTTTTTGTTTGTTTTTTTTTTTGGTGGGATTTGGAGCTTAAAATGGACAGAAAACGGGTTAAATTGGGAATTTTGGGATTTATTTAATAGGAAAATGGAATTTATTAGTAGGACATAATTGGATTTGTTAATAGGGAATAATTGAATTTATTTCATAGGAAATATGGGGTTAATGGGAAATACGGGATTTATCAATAGGGAATATGGAATATTTAATTAATAGGGAATGGATTTATTTAATGGGGAATATGGGATTTATTTAATGGGGAATATGGGATGTAGGAGGCAGTTGCAGGGGGTCCTGGGGACCCCCTTAAAACCCCCAAATCGCCCTAAAATCCCCCAAATACTCCCCGTAATCCCAAAAAACCACAAATACCCTCTAAATTCTCCCAAATCCCCTCCAAATCCTCCCAAACCCAAAATATCCTCCAGATCAAAGGGATTTGGGGGGAATTTAGGGGGATTTGGGGTTTTTGGGAGGGAGATTTTAGGTTGGGGGGCGTGGGGCAGAATTTGGGGGGATTTGGGGTTTTTTAGGGGGTTTGGGATTTTTTGGGAGGGGGTTTGGAGGGGGTTGGGGAGGATTTGGGGATTTTGAGGAGGAGGATTTCAGAGTGGGGGGTGTGGAGTGGATTTGGGGGAGTTTTGGGGGGATTTTGGGGAGATTTCGGGGGGATTTGCGGAATTTGGGGGCGGTTTCGGAGAATTTGGGGGGATTTGGAGAGACGGGAAGAAAGGGAGGGGTGGGAACCACGAGACCACGCCCCCCCCACCACCTCCCCCCCCATTTCCCCCCCAAAATCCCCCAAATCCCCCCAAAATCCTCTCCCCCCTCCCTCACCTCCCCCCGCCGACCCCTCCCCAGATTTTTGGGGATTTTGGGGGGATTTTTGGGTTTTTTTTTTTTGGGATTTTCTTTTGGGCGGCTCCGAGGCTGCGGCTGCGCGGAGGCTCCGGGGTGGGGAGGGGGCGGGGGGGGGGGGGGTGTGTGGGAATTATTTGGGAATTTTCGGGGGTCCTGGAGGAGTTTGGGGGGGATTTGGGGGATTTTGGGGGGTTTGGGGGGGGGTCAGGATGCGCTTCCTCCCCCCGAGCCTCGTCCTCCTCCTCCTCCTCCTCTGCGCCAGGCAGGTAAGGGGGGGAAATTCGGGAATTTTTTTGTGGGGGGAATTTTTTGGGATTCGGGGCTTATTTTTGCGGGGGGGGGGGGGGGGGGGCGACGGCGGCGGGAATTTTGGGAATTGCGGGAATTTTGGGAATTGCGGGGATGGCGCTGGGTGTGGCCGTGGGGGAAGGCGGTGGGGACAGCGCGGGGGGGCGGGGGAGGGAGGGAGGGGGAACTGGGGACACTGGGGGGGGCACTGGGGGACACCCCAGTTTGAACTGGGGGACAACTGGGGGCAGCTGGGGATACTGGGAAATACTGGGGGGACTCTGGGGACAGCCGAAGACACTGGGGGAAAGGAGCTCCCCAAAATTCCCCCCAAAACCGCCCAAATTTCCCCCAAAACCCCAAAAAATTCTCCCCCCAAAAAACTCCAAAAACCCCCAAAATTCCCCCCCAAAAAGCCAAACCCGCGCGGGTTGGGGGATTTTGGGGGGTCCTGGGGGGATTTGGGGGTGCTGGTCCCCTAAATTTGGGATATTGGGGGGTTCCCACCCCGAACTCGCCCTAAAGCCGCCCCAAACCCGCCCCTCGCTAATCCCGGCCTAAACCCGCCCGAAACCCGCCCCAAGCCCGCCCCGAGCCCGCCCCGGAGCCGCCCCCGGTGCCGGTGCCGGTCCCGCCCCGTTTCGGGGCCGTTCGGGGCTGGCCCCGGGCCAGCGGCAGCGACGTCAGCCCCGGGTCCCGCTCCCGGCGGGGGCGGCTCGGAGCGGGCCCAGCACCGGCACCGGCACCGGGACGGGGGCGACACCCCCCGGGGGGGCTTTGGGGGCTCCCGGTGCCGCCCCCGGGACCCTTTTAAAACCGCGGGGGCGGCTCCGATCGGGCCGGTACCGGGTCCCGGTGCCGCCCCCGGTTCCCGGTGCCACCCCCGGTTCCCGGTACCCGCGATTTTTAAGGCGAGGGGGGGCTCCGTTCGAACCGGTCCCGGTTCCCGGTACCACCGCCGGTAGGAGCTGAGGGTGCCACCACCGGATCCCGGTCCCGGTTCCCGGTGCCCGCGTTTTTACGGCGGGGGGCTCTGCTCGAACCGGTCCCGATTGCCGGTGCCACCCCCCGGTTCCCGGTACCGGTTCCCGGTGCCGCGTTTTTACGGCGGGGAGCTCTGCTCGAACCGGTCCCGGTCCCTATTCCCGGTGCCACCCCCAGTTCCCGGTACCCGCGTTTTCTCGGTGGGCGGCTCTGCTCGAACCGGTCCCGGTCCCGGTTCCCGGTACCCGCGTTTTTACTGCGGTGGGGAGGGAGGGAGGGAGGGGGGGGGGGGCTCTCTTCGAGCCGCTGCCGGTTCCCGGTGCCACCGGGGGGGGGTGATGGGCACGGGGCGCTGCCGGTGGCGGCGGCGGCGGCGACAATGACGGTGCCGCTGCTGAAGATCGGGGCCGTGCTCAGCACCATGGCCATGGTCACCAACTGGATGTCCCAGACCCTCCCGTCGCTCGTGGGACTCAACGGCACCGCCGTGTCCCGAGCCGGGACATCCGAGAAAATCGTGAGTGACCCCCCCGGTACCGGGAGGGGTCGGTTTTGGTTTGGTTTGTTTTGGGGTTTTTTTGGGCAGGGGATTTTTGGGGAGATTTCGGGGTTTT